GGTAGATGCATGATCCACATAAGAGCCATCATTACTTTGTTTAAAGTTAAAGTGTCAGAGTAGCATTTGAAGTTTTTYCTTGGATATTAATGAAGGCTTAAAGTAAAAGTGATTGGACTCCTTAATTGTAGGGGTAGTGTCATTAAAGTTCCTTGATTGTCCATGGGTGGACGCAAAATCTAGACCCACCCCACAACACCACCCCAGAAAGGGAGACCCAGGGATGGTCACCGACCGAGTCACTGAATTAATTGGTAGAACTTGTCTTCTTCTTGGAATATTAAAATGTGAGTAATTATCTTGTAAGAATAAAAAATGGAGAATTGTAGGCAGAAGTATTCTGACGGTACTCAGCAAAATGTTTCCAATAATGTGGTTTTGTGGACCTTGGCGTACCAAGCCAATATGATTTACCAACAGGTGCAGACAATTGAGGTTATACGTAGTGTTAAAAATCTCGCACTTTATCGGGGATATAGAGACTCAGCCTAGCTGTATTTTTCAGTCTTTCATTATAGTGTGAAGTATCATGTCGAACCAAGTGGTATACAGGGGATAAGAGCCCCCCAGGGAAGGCAAGGAGGGAGGTCATTGGTGTGGTAGGTGCTGATTGTATTATGTGGTGAAGTTRGTGTGTACTAGTGTGTCCTTTAGGTTGGAGTGCCTGCTGAATGCTGTGATAACTCTTCGGTGAAAAGGACGGAACAGGTTCCGGAAAGAGTTTGCAGAGGAATAAATTCTTCTTGTAGTTGCAGGTAAACGTATGCAGTTATATATAGAACGAGTTAGTTATTAAATAGAGTCAATGTATGTTTTATTGATTTAGCATCAAACAAAATCAGTATTATGCCGCTTCAACGATCGATTTGTATCGCGGCGATTGACTTATGGTCGAAAAGAACTGATTTTGGACCCAAAACCACAAATTAGAACCATTAACAGTATTTATAATAGTGATTGTCTTTCGAAGAGTTCTTTTATTGCAAGTTTTAGAGTCTCGGACGGAATTGCGACTTGACCGGAAGTAAAACTTATCTGCCGTCACGCAATTTGAGAGTGCAAAAATAGACAACTTCAACAGCTTCGTGCGTTCGATTGAAAATAGATACCAATTGTAACTGATTGTAATTGATTTTCGATAAAATCTGAAGCGTGTTTAGCGGCATAATTGAAGTCAAGGTCAAAGTTGTAAAAATCGTCCGATTTGTCTCAAAACCTACAGAAGTATTCATCAAAAGACATATTTCAAATATGAATTTTCAAAAATTGGATTGGAGAAGCGATTGTACCTCTTTAGGGGCCCGAATTCTACCTAAAAGTTTGGCGTAACGAAGGCCGATTTCGGTCCAAAACCGAGGGGGTGGTCAATCTCGCAAAATATAACCTCTTCGAAACTTTTCATACACTATACTACACAGTTCATAATCAATTTGGATAGTCTTTCATCGCTGAAAGTTTCATTGAAATCGNAAAGGGAGAAGAAGAGGGAGAAAGAAATAATAGAACGAATGGATGAAAGAAACAAACAACTGAATTAAAAGGAATCCCTTACAAACTTTTGATTTGTAGTTTTGATTCATATTTTTCTAATTATATTTTTTATTTKAAATTTGATTCATATTTGTAATCTTATTTCATGAAGGCACGTKGTTTCCTGCCCAGATACTATTGTCATATCGTCAAGCCCAGAAACTAGTCCACGAAAAGAGCCACGGTAAAAACTTTGAATATCTGTCACATGCTATATTAAATATTAATATTAATATTATATACTTTAACAGAGCTGCTGAAACGACAAGAATTGCCATCCCGTCTAGCCCTGAATGTAGTCCACAAAAGAGAGAAAGGTAACAATATTTTAAAATAGCAATTGTAGTATGCCAGTCATTTTATATAACTGAAACTATTATCATTATGTGAAATTTAGTTTTACTATGGACAGCCCATTAAAGGATAAGGACGAAGAAACAACAAGGTTGGCATTAAAAATTAAATGTTCATAATTTATTAATTTCTTGGTATATCTCTTAACCACCCAACAATCCCCCCTACACCCTCTCCCCTCCCCCAACACTTTCTCATTAGTTTTCACTTATCTATGTAAAGCAGTGATGATAGCGACAGAGAGGACAGTGAAGACAGTGATGGATACCAGAGCCATGAGGAAATCGACTTCTTCAAGGAGGACCCACTTCTTCCGATTTAGAGAAAATGATTTACTTCTGGCATGCCTTCAAAAGAAGTGGTAACCTTTCTCTTAACTCCTAATGAGGACCTTGTTGGACACACAGTTCCAAGTGGCGTCAACAGAAATGCATGTTTTGTTGTTGACACATCATCAAGATATGTTGGCCASTTGAAYAATGTGTTAGCTGATGATCTTGGAGCATGGCATCCTACTGGCACCAAACAGCTCTATTATCAAGGACCGTKAAAAAGGCATCSAACGAAAAAAATAAGCGAAATGGAATACCAAACATCTTCAAATGGACGAGCCTACCGCTGTACAAGAAATTTCTTTCGCAACAAGTCATCGCCAGATTTACAAAGGATTGTTATTTATTTAACAGGTTAGTAAACATAATATGCCATAGTAATTAATCCACCCCTTCCCCTCCCCACTTCCCCTTTCCGACCTCTTTATCTTCCCGCGCTAAGCAGAGTACAGGCCTCCCCTTACAGGTCTTTCCCTTACAAATATAGAATAACAACAAAATTAATCAAGTGTCTAAATGTTTTAGGGTCGAATGGCAGCAATCACAATTTAGTTTTTGTCCAATATATTTTTGACAAAAACGAACATGAAATAGAATTCAAAAACTCATTAATTATTCATGAGGTATTCAGCCAATCCCTGATTGTAATTTGTACCACGTGAAGTAACTTGAAACCAGAGGAAGTACTCGTTACCTTGTATTCRACCTTATTTCCAGTTACTTCTACCTTTTTCAAGTTACTTCTACATTATTTCCAGCTATTTCTACCTTATTTCCAGTTACTTCTACGATGTTTCCAACTACTACTAGCTAATGATAATCAAATTATTGGAAATAATCAGTTTAACATTAATTTAGTGAAAAAAAGTCTTTGACTCACGACTCGATCCCCTACCGTCCAGTCTATATGCGCCGTCTTATACCGTTACACCACCGAGTTTCTGATGCGATTCCTCGGAAGATAACATACTTATAAATCTTATGGATTAGGCTCATTAGGAATGCCATGAATAGCAGACAAAGACAATTTGAATAGCTTTTGTTTCAGAAAGCCGTCCGGGAATTGAAGAACAACAAACGGTGCTTCATGTATTCAAAATTATGAAAACTGAAAACCTTAGTGGAGATGCAATNAATTCTAAAGGAAGACGCAAAGAGTATTATCGTACATCTTACACAAAACCCATTTACGATTGGATTTTTGTAGAAATGTTTTGTAATTTTATTCATAATGTTAGTTATTTAAATAGTGATTGAAATAGTGTGTAGTCCAATTATAATTTGCTTGTATAACAAGCGTATGCACCGGAAACTGCTTGAGTATTTGTGATAAAAAAATAAACAAATGAAGTGCAATAACAATCATAGGTGTCTTTGAATTCTTTTGTGTTTATGCCACGGTGAATTCTTAGTTGGTATATGTCTACATAGTTCTTAACTAAATCTTATGTAGTGATAAGTAGTTAAGACTTTTTTCGCGATTTCATAGCGAGCACTCTAAGAAGTACAGTATACCAACCTCTTAGACAAAAGACCTTTAAAGTGCAAATCTTTTGACTTTTGTAGCTATATTTATGATGTTGATGTTGCCTTATTTATTTCAGTAAACCCAAAACAAGCTACAACCATAGAATGAACAGTCGCATTTGGACTTGTATTATCACTTGTTAGAAAATGTAAAAGTTGATCAATTTGAACATTTCTCTTATTGTCATAGAGTGTTCTAAACAGCTTCAAAAACTCCAACACTAATTTGAAACTCAAATCCGTTAAAATGCTTGGAGAAATTGCCGCAAAAATATGTTTTGAGACAAATGGGGCAAACATGCGCGAAGCACTCTTGRCATCCCACARTGAATACGCATATTGAAAATAGAACGGCTGGCTGGTCAGGTATCAAACCTGAGACGTTTGCTAGGGTCATGGAGCTTTATATTAAGAATACTAATGAGTGTTTTATCAGATATAAAGGTCCATGCATGTGACCAAGTAAGCTCATTCTATTGGCCTAATAACTCATTAATTATGTATGAATAATCAATAGAGTATTATCATCACCAGGTAACATTTGCTGATTTTATATCCTTATGTAGGAAGAATTAGCAAGACAATGCCGAGTCACATGTAGTATGGCAAGTAAGGATCTTGTAAATTCCTCTAAAATCTATGGAAAGAACC